CTCTCTCTCTCTCTCTCTCTCTCTCTCTCTCAAATCTCAGCCTCACCAACCTAGGTCTTCTCTCTAAAACGCCTCATCTCATACCCATGGATTCATGATCTACTTATTGCCTAATTGAGGAGGGGGAGTGGGGGGAATGACTTGTCATGGTAGGACTTATATTTTGTAGGTTTTATTATGAAATTATTTTGAAATCAACGTAAAATTCTTTTAATTTTACTTGCCTTGCTCTAGATGCGTACCTATGCAATATTTTACTTTAAATGTTTGAAATTTACTTGAAGTTTTTATTTGTAACTTTATTGTTTTTAGTTATTTTAAATAGAACCCCCAATAGTAGAGAGGCCTTTATTTGTAGTATGATCTTTTTTTTGTCATTTTAAATGGATCCGACAAAAGTAGAGAGAGATTTAGGTGGGGTAGATGCTCATAGCCCACAAAAGTATAAATTATAAACTTTAAAAGATTGATCCAACATTGAGAAGGTTGGAGAAAAGTTGGCACTAATAAACTATAAAAGACCACATGGAGGAAGGGATTTGAACTCCATTCCACCTAGTAGGAATGGGGTCATCCACATGAAAATGTGGGGCCTATAGTAAACAATGACATTAAAAAAAAAAAAATTTATTATAAATGAAAATTACATGGGAAATGTGGGGCCTCTAATAAATAAGAAATTTGAAAAAAAAATATTTATAACAAGTAAAAATTACATGGAACTGCCCAGTCGCGATATTTAGAAGGAACCAAATCAGTTCCTCTGAAAACCGATCCGGATCAGGCCATTCTTGTCCGGATCGGTGTTGTTTTAAGCAATGATAATAAGCAATATCAAAAGGAAGACATGTTTCGACAATTGAGCACAAAATTTTCAAAAATAGCATCTTTTTCAAAACTGTACCCCCTATGGCTCTTGATTTTGAGATTGGATAACCCGTTTGTATAAGGGATTTTAAGATTTAAAAAATTCGTCCTCATAAACAAGCATCATTCATCATTGTCAAAGCCTTTTCCCAACTAATTGGGGTCAGCAACACGAATCTTAGTCCGCCATTCTCCTCAAAAACAATAAGCTGAATAACTCTCATATAGAAAACAAAAAAAAAGAAGGAAGATACACCCACGAGTCCACATTGTTCATATAGATTCTCGTCCAAGCCAAGAGGACTGAAAGTAAGCGTTCTCCACTTCAAGAATGCTATTAAAAATAAAATAAAAAAGATTTGGAGTGCAAAAAAATGCTCCAAATCAACTGATCCCCAAGGATAAACTCCAAAACATCAACGTAATGGCCGTAAGCATCAAGAGTTGAAGCTCCAATTCAATATTTCGGTGAAGGAGAGTATTTCAAGGCTGTTTTGAGCCTATGTGAATGCCTCACCCGATAAAAGGGGGTGGCTTTGGGTGAGGGTCCATGTGAATGGTGTGGACCTGCAGACCCATGCTATATATGTGCGCTCCCATGTTTGTGAGATTATAAAACTGAGACATCCCCCCTAAGCATTTCTTTGGCAGTTAGACCTCTATAACACCTCATTTTACTGCTTTTGTAATTTATAAGTTTTACATTCAATGGCCCCAAGGGTGATTTTGACTCAAAGATATGGATACCATTTTTGACTAAGGATGCCACTGAAATGTACCTGAGAAGCGTCAAACATAAGGGCTCCCCACCCTTCAAACCCCGAGAACAAGTACGCTACATCCATCAAGAACATAACCGTGCATCTGTAGATTCTGTATATGAGTATTGTAATTCTGCAGCAGATTTCCCCTTCAAATAAGTATGTTATGTTTTGAACATCCAACACATGGAGTTGCTTCAATAGGACACTAATAATGGCACTCAAGAGTCCAATTTCCATTATCGTCATCATATGATTGCTTCAACTGTTCATAATAAACTAAATAATAAAATTAAACAAAAAGAAGAGAGAATTCTGAAAGGAATCCATGGCAGATTTACCACCCATCTGACATGGAAAGAATCTAATTTAAATGGAATTCCATCAATATTTATGCGTTTCATGAAGAAATAAAAACTTTCAAACATTTAGGCCAACCACGCATATATTGGAACTTCAAGGTCACCTATCTCGCATGCCTAAATAATAAATCACTACAACCAATAGAAAGTATGGCATTCAATGTTATTTAATATTTCAGAGTTTTTAATAAAAGAACCCGGAATATGATACATTGCCATCAATAGTATTACATAAGTAGTGTAGCACATTTGTGTTTTTGCTTGAGATGATTGGAATTCATCTACCGTAAAAACTTCACTCATATAACAGAAAAATTCAATCGTGTCTGGGCAAAAGAGAGACCATACCAAAGTATGGCATTCAATGTTATTTAATATTTCAGAGTTTTTAATAAAAGAACCCGGAATATGATACATTGTCATCAATAGTATTACATAAGTAGTGTAGCACATTTGTGTTTTTGCTTGAGATGATTGGAATTCATCTACCGTAAAAACTTCACTCATATAACATAAAAATTCAATCGTGTCTGGGCAAAAGAGAGACCATACCCTGAATAAAGCCCTTTCTCCAACAAGAGAATAATGAAGTGCACCACCTAAACGATACTTATTTTCTCCAGTTTCAACAGTCAAATACATGTGCTGGTCAAGATCTTCAATAACCACAATACTTCCTAATCAAATCACAGATTATTTTATTTCAGCTCAAATATTTCCAGTGAAACAAGAATAAGAGTCCAAATACTACATAAATTTAAGGACCCACGTACCATCAGGAATCTTGTCTTCATGCCTACCATCAGCCTGTTCATACCAAGAGCCAACCAATTGTCTTGTGCCATCATTTGCTTTGCCAGTGGATATCTCAAATAAGGGATCAGTAAGACCCAGAAGTATCTACAGCCATAAAAACAGGTGAGACATCCATATCATGACTGTGAATTGGATTATGTCAAATACCTAAAACAGGACCCAATAAAAAAATGTTTATTTTACGTTATGTCGCAACTTCATTTTTATAGTTTTAGTTCCCTCCGTTCAAATATTTTTCTTTCAAGTTTGCACTGTGAAATTCTGGAAGTTCATTTCCTTTTCTCTTCTTTTGTTTTTTGCATCTGAGCAAGCAATAAAATTGATGTATTGGGGAAAGGAAAAAAAGTTATAAAGGGATCAGCAATAGTCAAAAAAAAAAAAGGATACACAACTATCCAATCATACTACAATAATTGTCATGGAGATCAAGAGCTGGGTGATTCAAAATTTTAATCTTATTTTTTTTAGTTTCAGATATGTGGATGTACATTTTATTTTTATTAGGGCTTATTCTTTTGGGAATTATAATGTGGTTTTGATCTCCAATACCTAGTTTCTACATTTTCATTTTCTTTTTTTGATATTCATGAGTACTGTTCACAGTATTGTTCACGGTTATTGTTCACGGGTTACTTGCATTTTTGGAACTTTAATATATTTTAGGGATATTTTGGAATATTAAATTGTTTACTTGGATCTTAAGTTAATTTTAGGGTTTCATAGGCTTATAAAAGGCGGGACATCCCATAATAGGATGCTTATGTCATTGCAATGTATTTATTTTATGAAAGAAGAAAGTTCTTCTCTTGGCTCGATTTACAACCATACTTTTTCTCCATTATTGTTGATTTTATTTGTTTGAAGTTCGGGGAAAAAGTGAATTTAGTTTCCCACCTTTCCTTCCTGCATCACGTTGGATGGTCCAAGTCATGGCAAGAACAGGGAAAACAATGAAAACAAAGGATATGCACGCACAATGTAGCAATATTTGGAGCAGGATAAGACTGCCGTAGAGTGAATCGTACTCTACCGCGAACTTAACACTTTAGGTTCAATGGCGACAGGAGAGAAAAAATTGGTGGAACGCCTATGAAAGTATTTCCACGAAAGGACTTTCATGTTTTTATTAAAAAAAAAAATGAGTTTTAATGATATCTATGAATCTGCTGCAGAACCACGACAACTCGAAACTCATCTCCGTGGCAGACCTTCGAATGAAGGTTATATCAAATGAGCGAGGGAAAAAATCTTTAGTTGGAGGGATTCAGGATGGTATACTAAGAAGGTTCCTAAAATCTTGGTCAATTTGAGATCATTAAGTAGGTCCCAAAGATTTAAAAATTGGGAAAATCCTTATCTGTTTCAATTTTCCATAGTCTACTGAAATGATGTTCACCCTATTTTGGAATAGGCTACCTTAATGGCCTCCAATCAAAACCAAATTTTTTTGTATGGATGAAGAATGTGTTGATATATTACGTGATGCAAATCGCACCCAAGACATTCAAGAACTTTGTTGATTAAATTTATTATTTATTATTTTTATTTTTTTATGGGTGGATTTCTTTTTATTATTTGTTGTTAGTTTTAATTTTTAGGAATCACATTATCAGGGTTAAAAGTTGTTTCTATTTAACATTTTGGGTGTGGGATTCCAATTTGCATGGGATGCTCTTTCCTTTTGCTATGTAACCAAAAGTTAGGGAGAAAGAGTTTGGGTGACTATGGCGTGACTTGAATAGTGTAAAGAATACGTATTTTGGTGAGGGAGATAATGGTTCCTTGTCTTTAAGGGATTTCATAGGGTGGTGTATTGAAGATTAACTTTCCCTTTTTTTTCGTTGGGAGATCAAGTGAATGGGGGTAACAAAGAGAAAGAGGGAAGTCACGTGGGATGTAGTGATTAATGAGAGGGTTAGAGAAAATCTTTGAAAGGATCATCTAGGAGAGAGAAAATAGAAGAGTTAGGAGAAGGGGTATGTGATTTAGAGATTATAAGGAATATTTCCTAAAATTTTGTAGTGTGCATAGAAAGACGTATATCTTTTGAATTTTATTTTATTTTACTTTTCATTGTTTGTATTAAAAAGAAGTGGGACGTCCTATTGAGGGGGGACTTGGATATTTTCTGTAAAGAGTTTTATGAATGAAGAAAAGAGTTTTTTCTTCCTTTGGCTTGATTTACAGTTATTGTTTCTTTCTCTATAGTTGCTGAATTTTGTGTCTTTTAAAATAGAAAGAAGGTTGGATTTAATTTCCAGAACTCCTTTCACATCATTTGATATCAGAGTAAGATTCGAAAAGGTTTACCGAGTACGATGGCTGGTCGTGGAGTTCGCAACTGTAAGAATGCCGAGTGGGACCAAATATACAAGAAAATAGAAAACTTGACAGAGATAGTTGAAAGTTGTTGCAAAAACAAAGACTTGCAACATCACACATTGAACAAGATGAGATCTACGGTGCTAGATCCATATTGTATGAGTACTTGTAGAGATAGGCATAAATCGGAGCGCGAGTCTGAGTGGGAACAGCTTGATGTTATGCTCGATTGTACTTATGGGTTTGATGCACAACAACATAGTCAAGAGCATGAATGCAGAAAAAAGTTGGGTAACCGACAACCCCAAAGCCGATGTGATTGGGATAGGGGAGTAAACCGAAATCAGTGTAGAGATGAGCAGAGAAAAAATCTTACCTAGTGTTTTAAAATGCGGTCGCATCGCCACATATGTGGCCGCATCATGCACTATGCGCAGGGCACCGCATCAAAATTGACTGCATATGCAGTTTAGAGAGATGCGATCGCATATGTGCCCAATCTCTCTGCATCAGAGTCGCATAGCGTATACACCGCATCTGGCTGTATAATTTTTCGTAAAATTTTTTAAAACAGTACCCCTCGGGGATAGGTAAAATGGTCTTTTTGACCTTCGAAATTTGGGGGAGAGGGTTTGGAGGGGTATTAAACCCCCCAAACAATAATTTCAGCCACATTCGTGGTGTTTTTGTAATCGATTGGATCAAAAGAAAAATTTGGACAATAATTTTTTTCGTTGAAGTTTTTCGATTTGTGCATTTGTTGATACTTATTGATTTGTATTTTTTGGGTGTTGATTTGAGGAAGTTAAAGTAAACTTGTGACGACAAATCGAGGGTTTCAAGGACCGTAGAGAAATCAACATTTGCTTCAAGTAACCGGTAACTTTTTTTTCCTTTTACAGTAATACTTTTTTGGGGGGCAATGTCATCTTTCCAATCTTCTAGTAATACGGATCTAGCTTAAAAATATGCCAAACTTACAAATTTAAAAGATCGAAACTGTGTGATTTGTATGCTTTGTGGAAATACTTATATGGGTGGTATTTTCGGCAAAAAGAAGATTTAGCGGGTATTTCTGATAATGTAAGAGCATGCCCATAAGCTATCAAAGAAATATAAAGGAAGATTAGAGAACACATGGATAGCTTGAAAAAAGAAAAAGAGAAGAAAAAAATGAAAAGAAAAGAATTACTTGATGATATGCAATTATTTGATGTTGATGATGATGATAATGATGATATATCAAAAGTTGCAAAGAGGCAAAGGGGTACTCCAACTCCAATCTCAAGAGAGAGGGCTGTAAATATAGATGGTAGTGTTGGCAAAAGAACACCTCTTTAAGGGGCCAATGGATGTTTTTTTTTCACCTCTAACCACGAAATTATGGTTCAGGAAAGGAGGAAAAAAACAAAACAAACTACAATTGAGAATCGATACAAGAAAGAACAGAGGAAGTCGGTATGTAAGTATATTACAAAGTGGCTTTACATGGCTGACATTCCTTTTAATACTATAACCCTCGATAGCTTTGCATATATGGCCCAGGCAATTGGGTAATATGGCCCAAAACTTATTCCTCCTTCACTACATGAGGTTAGGGAGCCCTTATTGAAGGATGTTGTATTTGATGTTAACAAAATGTTAATTTCTCAAATAGAAGGGTGGCAGAAATATGGGGCCACTATTATGTGTGATGGTTGGTCTGATGGGAAGTCGAGGGCATTCATTAATTTTTTGGTTAACTGTCCAACAGGTACCTTTTTTGTTAAGTTTGTTGATGCATAAGACAAGTCACATGATGCTACCTACTTATGTGGCTTGATGGATGAGAATGTAGAGTTTGTTGGAAAGAAAAATGTGGTACAAATTGTCACTGACAATAGAGCCAATTATGCTGCAGCTGGGCATTTTTTGACTTTGAAGAGGAAGCATATGTTTTGGACTCTCTGCACTGCTCATTGTGTTGATCTTATGCTTAAGGAAATGAGTACAACATCTTTACTTAGTGAGGTGATTTCAAAAGCTACGTCTGTTTAATCACACTATAGTCCTAACTATGATGAAAACTTTTACAAAGATGAGAGACCGGGTATCACTAGATTTGCCACATCATTTCTCACTCTTCAAAGCCTAGCGAAGCAAAAAAGTGTCTTGAGGACCATGTTTGCTTCAGGGCAATGGAGTCAAAGTAAATGGTCAAAGCATTGGGATGGGAGAAAGGTTAAACAAATTATTTTGAATATATCTTTTTAGAGTCAAATAATTCTTGCATTGGAGGTGGCTGACCCTTTAGTGAGAGTGCTTCGACTGGTTGATGGTGATGTGAAGCCCACCATGGGCTACATACATAAGGCAATGACTAGGGCAAGAGTAGGATAAACAATGTTTTAAAGGATCATGAAAATAAACGCAAGGCTATACTTGGAATTATTGATAGGAGATGGGATACCAAGCTTCACAAGCACCTCCATTCTACTTTCTAAATCCATCACTTTACTACAAGCACCCATCCATTGAGTCAGATCGTGCAATAAATGGTGGGAGTGAGACACCAAATCTACAACGTCTCGCTATTCGAGTATTGAATCTCACATGTAGCTTATCTGGTTGTGAATGCAATTGGAATGCATTTGAGCATGTAAATCCTTATTCCTTAATCCTTATTTCTTGGATGTCAATTTCAATTTTCAATTTTCTAAAATCTAATTTTTCTAATTTCAATTTTCTACTACAGCTCCATACCAAAAAAAGAAACAGGTTGG